CTACTATACTACTACTACTACTACTACTACTACTACTACTACTACTACTACTACTACTACTACTACTACTACTACTACTACTACTACTACTACTACTACTACTACTACTACTACTACTACTACTACTACTATTACAAACACTGCGAGGAGTAGTGCTACGGCGAAGGCCGCACGACACAAGTCAACCACTGGACTCTTTCCCGGCTAGGATCTGCGCAGCGGGAGTTGGAGACCCTTAAGGTGATAGTGGGATTTTCGGAAATCCATGCTTCAAACTTCCATACAAAAACTAAGCAAACTGGACTCTTTCCCGGCGGAGCGCCGGGGAAAAGTCCAGTTTGCCGGGAAAAAGCCCAGTTTGCCGGGAAAAAGTGGACAACCCCCAGATGGGACAGCTCGGCCTTGCGCTGCAGGGAGCCACGCTGCGGATCAGGTACGATCTGTCGGCGGAGCAGGGGCTCCGCGTGGAGGCTTGGTGGCGCCCGCTGGGCGCGGGCGGCAACGCGACGGAGGCCCGCCGGCTCGACGGGCCCGCGCGCGTCGGGTTCGTGGCCGACCTCGTGCCCGGCCTCGAGGAGGTCGAGTGGTTCGGCCCCGGCCCGCACGAGTCCTACGTGGACCGCCACACGTCCGCGCGCGTGGGCCCCCTGAGGGGCACGAAGCGGCACGGAGAGCCTTTCTCGGCGCTCCGCGCGGATGAGTTGGGTCGGCGCCGGGCCCCCCCTGGCCCCTGGCGCGCTCGGCGCGCCAGGGAGGTGGGTCCAGCACCGACCCAGGGTCCGCGCGGAGCTCCGAGAAGGAGGAAGAGGAGGAAGAGGAGGAAGAGGAGAAGGAAGAAGAGGCGGAGGGGATGAGAGAGCCTGAAGTTTGTCCTGGGACAAGCTTCAGGCCCCCTTCCTCTTTCTCCTCCCTCCTCCTCCTCCGATGCTTCTGCCGGTCGTTGTTCCTCCAGGCTTGCACGGGGGCTCCATTGCTGGCCAGACGTTCCGGTACGCCAGGCCCCAGGAGAACGGGAACAAGCACGAGGCCCGCCGCGGAGAGGAGAGGGGCCCAGCAGGCGGGGAGAGCGGGGCTCCCGACTCCTGAAGGTTTTTCCGTCGGAGGTACTCGGCCTCTGGTGGGGTTTGGGGGGGGCGCTCCTGCCGTGGGGCCGTCTTGGGGCCATCGTCGAGTTCTCTCGGGCCGTCGTGGACTCCAAGAAGCCCGCGGGCAATAGCGCAGCAGGTCGCCAGAGGCCTCACAAGGAATCGGTGGTCGTGGGTTCTGGAAGCACTCGTGGGGCTCCTCGTGGTAGCCTGAGGCTTGTCCCGGGGAAAGTCCGCGGGGTCTGGTCCGGGGCCCATGCCTTGGGGGCCCCCACCCGGTGTGGTGACGGTACCGTGTGGCAAGTCAATGGGGATGCGGGGTCACTGCACTTTCTTGGGACTAGGAGAAGGAGCAGGAAGAAGAGGAGGAAGAGGAGGAGGTGTAGGAGGAGGAGGAGGAGGAGGAGGAGGAGGAGGAGGAGGAGGAGAGGAGAGGAGGAGACGAGGAGGACGAGGAGGACGAGGAGGACGAGGAGGACAAGGAGGACGAGGAGACGAGGAGGACAGGAGGACGAGGAGGAGGATGAGGATGAGGAGGACGAGGACGAGGACGAGGAGGAGGAGGAGGGGGAGGAGGAGGAGGAGGAGGAGGAGGAGGAGGAGCAGCAGAGAGAGCAGGAGGAGAGGAGTAGGGAGGATGGACCGCTACAGGCTAGATCCTTCAATCGGGCTAACGTAAAAAGAGGAGGAGGATGAGGAGGAGGAGGAGGGAGGAGGAGGAGGAGGGGCAGGTGGAGGAGCAGGAGGAGGAGGAGGAGGAGGAGGAGGAGGAGGAGGAGGCGGGCTGTTCTCCGAGGATGCGTCGGGCGACTGGTGCCACCAGGGCCCCTAACCGTGCGGTGCGGGCAATGCTGTGAGGTCTCCGGTTTTTTTCGAGGTCACCGCGCTTAGTGCTTGAGCTCGATCAGCAGCATCTCAGCATTGCTCCTTCTGATTGGCCCATTCTCCACCACCACTACCATGTGTAGGAGGAGGAGGATGAGGAGGAGGAGGAGGAGGAGGAGGAGGAGGAGGACGAGGAGGAGGAGAAGGAGGAGGAGGAGGAGGAGGAGCAGGAGGAGGAGGAGGAGGAGGAGGAGGAGGAGGAGGAGGCGGGAGAAGGGAGGTTGATGATGCAACGCAGGCTTCGACGACGGGTCGTGCTCGATTCGAACGCTCGTGGCGAAAAAAAGCTCGAGGGGACCCGGCCTTAGTGCCAAGCAACTCGAGCTTGCAGAAGTAGTTCTTGAAGAGGGGGCGCCGCTGGCGCCCGCTCTGGAAGGAGGTGGAGCGGGGCAGGCACCACACCACCCCAGGGTGCCAGCCTCTCTCTCTCTCCCTCGCGCGACGGCGCCTCCGTGCCTCTGCACGGTTGGCGGCGATCCTGGCCTTCTGGGAAGAGGACGCGGGGAGCGGGCGGGGGCGGAGGCGGAGACGAAGGAGGCGGGGAAGGGAACAGAGGCCAGGCCGCCGCCTGCTCCTCTGGGGAGCCAGAAATCAGATCTACGATCATCTGCTCTGCCTCAGCGTCGGCTCCCGACGCTTCTGTCCGTGTCGGAGCCTCCGCTTGAGGCTCAAAAAATCTTGGTCAGAGCTGCTCGAGTCTGAGTCAAGACATCGACTGCGCTCAGGATCTACTCTAGTCCTGTCTTTGCGTTGTCTAGGATCGCCCGCGAAGTCGGGCGCATACGGTCTAACTGCGTCGTCCTTTGGTTGCTCCTGGATTCTAGACACGAAAAACTCCATGAGCCTAGCTCGGATCTCTTCAGAGTCCTAGGAATAGGCCTGTACCTCCGGGATCTCTGAGTCAGCTGTGACGGGATCCTCCGAAGAACGGCCAGACACCAAAGAAAAAACTGAGTCAACAATAGCAGTGGCAATACTTCTACACATGCCTAATACTCGGATAGGCCTTCTTAGAGGCCGTTCTAAACTCACCAGAAGAAAGTTTCCCCAGGAGGGTCATATGTGACCCTTTGCCGTGGGAACAAAAACCTTTGCCTGGAGTGGCCTTCAGGAGGCCAGCCAGAGTGGGCATACGGACCGAGACTATTGTGGTGGGGGCTCTACCTACTCCTGCTGGATCCGTACCTGCTGGCTGGTGTTCGCACTGATCAAATGTGGTTCTGGCCGCACACGGTGCTGACCATATCGCTTGCATAGGCTTCCATTCAAACAACGCTGGCGCTCCTCGTGCCCATGTCGGGCAAACAGGATGCTCTAGCCATCCAGACGTTCCTGCTCGAAGGTGCTCCGCTAGAAGCCGAACGAGTGCATGAAACAGCTGCGAACCTATACGTACTTGCTCAGATTGACGTCTAGTGGTCTAGTGGCCCATGGAACTCCCCATACGTACTGAAGCGTCCTGAGTGTGGGGGGCCACCTTCTTGCCACCGAGAGGCCGACCAAGTTTCACATGGCGCCCACCCTGAGTTAATAACACGATGACAACGTATGTGTTCAGCCCATTCTAGTATGGTAGCTTCTCTAGTCAGGTCGCCTCGAACTTCATCTATCGCAATGTCTACACTGAGAACTACGAGCTCCACTGAAGGTGAGGCAATCGAGTATTCGATGTGCCACTGGATGTCTCCTGCACGTCTGCGTCCGCAGTAGAGGTTGAGAACGAAAAACGTGCAGCGCTGTACTCTGGTAGGAATCTGTATGGCGGCAACTCCAGAACAACCAGCAGGATTGTAAAGGAAAGGTGGGAGGTCTCTATCGGGCCCAGTACCTTCAGGAGCCTGTGCTTCCGTGAACATTTTGAGGTACTCTGCTCTGAGCTGGGGCGGCGGAAGCGCAGCATCTGCGCCTAGAAGAATATTAGAATATCTCGAACTTGCTCTGAACTGAGGGCTTCAAGACTATCGCGAACAGCTTGGGGGCACTCTCCAGGGCCTCTGAATGCAGGACACTCCGTGCGCCACCTCCCTTGACCTGCCTTCCTCTGTGCAGTAAGCCTCCTATCCTCCGCCTCGTTCAAGTTTCTAGCCTCCTCGTACGTGCAATTCACGTCGGAAAGCCAGTACCCAAGGGCACCCTTGGCAGAGTCGAAAGCCAGATGCGCCGTTAAAGCGGCGCTGTGTGCAAACTGCTGCCTGCATGTAGGACACTGTGTGCTGCTGCCTTGAATACGTCGTATGCTGTGTACTCTGCTATGATGACATCTATTGACGTGCATTCTTAAACCTTTAGGCTTGCAGAAACCTTCTCCACACCAAAAGCATTTCCAAACCTTCGCGTCCTCGGCTTCGACAGCACGGAGACTGTGAAAAGGACTGTCGCATGCTGGCGGGACTCCTGACTCCCACAGGCCCACAGGATATCAAAAGTCTCGTGCTCTGCAGCTGCAGCGAGGGCTTCCCTTTGCTGTTGACGGTTAGGAGGGAGGAGGGAGGAGGGAGGAGGGAGGAGGGAGGAGGGAGGAGGGAGGAGGGAGGAGGGAGAAGGGAGGAGGAGGAGGAGGAGGAGGAGGAGGAGGAGGAGGAGGAGGAGGAGGAAGAGGAGGAGGAGGAGGAGGAGGAGGAGGAGGAGGAGGAGGAGGAGGAGGAGGAGGTTGAGGTTGAGGTTGAGGTTCATGTTGAGGTTGAGGTTGAGGGAGGAGGAGGAGGAGGAGGACCTCCTTATCCTCTCTTCTCCCCCGTCCTACATATGGTAGTGGTGGTGGACAGTTTGCCGAATAATTTCTGCTCTTGAGCGATTTTTTGGGTTGTCTTGGAGATTCTTGGGGTTATCTTGGCGTCCACTCGGGGCCTCTTGACGGTCTCTTGGGAGCCTCGGGGGGACCTTTTGTGGGCCTCTTGGGGCCTCCTCGGCGTCGCTGATCTGCCCACGGAGCAGCCCAGCAGTGCGGAGCGTTCGCCGTCGTGCAAGCCCGTCCGTACTCAGCAGTGGGCGACGCTGGCTGCTTCGTCGCTGGGCTGGCCCCCTGCCTCCACCCTGGGGCCGTTGACAGCGGCTCGGGGTGAGAAGCTTGTCCCCGGGGACGGCCCCGGGGTCCAGGACCCATGTCTTGGGGTGTGACGACGTCCTGTGGCGAGTCCGCGGGGATGTTTGTTGAGGTCACCGCATGCGTCTGGGACCGCAGCGACCTCCAAGGTGGTGCGGGCTTACGGAGGCCTCCCGAGCGCCTGCCTGCGCGCTTGGGTCTGGCCCCCTCGCGGGCCACCCAGAGGCCGCGCACCAGAGGCCACTCCCGCCGGGGGGCCACCTTCAGGGGCTGCCGAAGGTGCCCCTGGCCCAGGCTGCCCTGGCTTTCCGTTCAAGTTTGGGAGCCCCAGGGGGGCCTTCTGGGCCTCGTGAGGGGTGCTCTGGAGGCCGCGGAGGCCTCCCTTGAAATCCCGGGGGCGCCCTTGGCCGGGGGCACTTTTGGCAGCACTCCCAGCGATCCGATGTCGTGATTTTGTCGATGCGCGGTCCGCGGCAGTCTCGACCCACTCCCCAGGATCGGCTCTTCATCCCGAGTCGTTGTTTGACGGTCCTGGGGCCTGGCGAGGGCCCTCAGAGGCCGAAAGCTGCGAAAAACCCTCCTCTTGATGTTTTCAGTGCCTTGGATCTCTGGACTCCCTGCGTGCAGCCAGTGGCCAGTGGCCGAAAGCTGCGACAAACCCTCCTCTCGATGTTTTCAATGCCTTGGATCTCGGGACTCCCTGCGTGCGGCCCGTGGCCCGTGGCCCTCAGGGCCGGCCCCCCCCTCGCGCCGCGAGAGGCGCGCTGGATGCTGCTGCGGGGCGGCGCGGGGGGGCCCGGGCTGCTCGTGGCCGCGGCGTCGCCCTCCCTGGCCCTGGGCATGCAGTGCCACAGGCCTCCTCCTCCTCCTCCTCCTCCTCCTCCTTGCTCTGCCTCTCCTCCTCGTCCACCTCCCCCTCCTCCTCCTCCTCCTCCTCCTCCTCCTCCTCCTCCTCCTCCTCCTCCTCGATCCTCCTCCTCCGCCTCCTCCTCCTTCTCCTCTCCTCCTCCTCCTCCTCCTCCTCCTCCTCCTCCTCCTCCTCCTCCTCTCCCCCTCCCCCTCCCCTCCCTCCTCCTCCTCTCCTCCTCCTCCTCCTCCTCTCCTCCTCCTCCGCTCTCCTCCTCCTCCTCCTCCTCCTCCTCCTCCTCCTCCCTCCTCCTCCTCCGCCTCCTCGATCCTCCTCCTCCGCCTCCTCCTCCCTTGCTCTTCCTCTCCTCTCCTACCCCTCCCCCTCCTCCTCCTCCTCCTCCTCCTCCCCTCCTCCCCCTCTCCTCCTCCTCCCCTCTCCTCCTCCTCCCTCTCCTCCTCCTCCTCCTCCTCCTCCTCCTCCTCCTCCTCCTCCGCCTCCTCCTCCTCCTCCTCCTCCTCCTCCTCCTCCTCCTCCGCCTCCTTGCTCTGCTCCCACTTTCGAATGCGACGGGGCACTTGGATTGGAGAGTGCACCCAGGAGAGGAATAGGTACCCATACCGCTACCCTTTGGCCGTTCTGCCCCTTCTGGGCCTCCTGGGAGGCCCTCGTCGCCACCGATGGATTCGCCTCTAGATCCTGGTCAGAACGCACCCCGGGAGAGATCCGAGGAGCAGCGGCATCGGTACCTTGCGGTTCCCCCAGGTTCCGCCTGTCCGACTTCGACGGCCCGCAGAGGAAGGAGGACCAGCCTGGCGGCGAGCACGGGGGGGGGCTCGGTTCGGTATCGTTGAGCCGTCTCATCCTCACCGAGCCGCGGCATCTCAGCCCCACCATCCCACCCCAGTTGGGGTCAGGCCCCTCGAAACCCGAAGGTAACAGCCTATATCCCCTATCTAGGGGGGTAAATCGGCCAGTGGGGCCCAGGCTGGCCACGCCAGTGGGGATACGGACCGGTTCGACGATGCTCATCGGTTGCAGCTCATGGGATCCTGGTATGTCCTCGTAATCCCTTCTCTAGCGTGCACTAGCGTGCGCTAGCGTCTGGTAATCGGTGAGAGAGCGCCGATCTGGCGTCGATTAGCGCCAATGCAGCGTGGATTTGACGTCGATCCGCGTCGATTGCCGTCGCTTAGGGTCGATTCGCAGGCGCCCGCAAGATTGCATGGGAGGCCCTCACGACTTGCTGCAGAAGGAGGGGGGCGACAGGGCGATAGGGGCGAGGGGTGGAACGGCCTTACTCAGGAAGGCCCCGCCCCCCCCCGCAACCATACTGCAGGAGAGCCCTCCCGCCTCCGAGTTCCCCCCCTTCCCCACCCGTGGCAGACCCCGAGGAGCCGTCAGGGCCCTCCTGCACCGGGTGGGCGCTCGCTGCGTCGACGCGGCGGCGGCCCCAGCGTGGGCGCTCCGGGTGGAGCGCCACGGTGGCCCTGAATCTGCCGATGTCGAGCGATCTGCGCCATCGGGAAGCCGCAATCGCTCAAGGTTGGCCGAGCCACGCGGCGAGGAGGAGGAAGAGGATCGAGGAGGCGGAGGAGGAGGAGGCGGAGGAGGAGGATCGAGGAGGCGGAGGAGGAGGA